GCGTTTCCGCCGAAAGAGCTGATCGGCGGCTCCAAGTGGCCCTTCGCTGGGGGAGGCAGCCGCCAAAGTAGCCCAGGGCTGCTCTCTCCGCGGACCCGCGCCCCTCCGGCTCCCGCCGGTCCCAGCCCAGAGGCGAAACCGCCACCGAAACTGGCGCCGGGCGTCCTCCCCCGCCGCGCCTCCCCTACCAGACCGGAGCCACGATCCCCTGGGGGACTCTGGGGCCACCGTGAGCCCCCGGCGCCGCGCCCAACTCCCATCTACTCACTGCAGCCCCGCACGACCCACCAAGGACCGCGGGAGCCAAGGAACGCGCTTACCTGGCGAGCGCACCTGACGAAGTGCGGGCCGCCCGCCAGCAGCCTGGGACTAGACTAAGAACTCTGTCGGTCCTCCACCTCCACTCCTTCTTCTCCTCCTCCCCCCACCCCCCCACCCCTGCGGTCCTGCCCCCGGGCATGCGCACCACCGCCTGGCCGGTGCTGGAGGTCTGGGGCCGCGCACTGGCCAGTCTCACCTGTTACACCAAGCGCGGGCTCTTGGGCGCTCTGGCTAGCTTTCCCCGGAGTCCCGCGGCCTCCAGCCGGGGAAGGACAGGTCAGGGGTGTGGGTGGACGCCAGCGAGGAATTGTGTGTCGTGGCCGTCTCCTCCCTCGGTGACCCATTCACCTGAAACTCGGATGGGAGGGGGAAGGGAGCGGTGGAGAAGGAGGCGGGAGGAACCAGCCCTTCCCCGCACACCCTCCCAGCGATCCCAATTAAAGGCACAGCGCAGCTTTGGCGACCGAGGGCAGAGGAGGGGCCCCGGCTCCCAGAAGGTGGGGGTGGTCCTGGACCGCCCTGCGGCGCGCTCCGAGCTCCTCTGCTTGGGGTAGAACAGCCGACGAGAGGCGGAGGGAGGTCTGGAGGGGGACTGTTTTACTCTGAAGGAGGTCCCAGGGTGCTCACAAGCTGACACGAAAGGCATGTCCTTACCCAACAATTTTATGTTCCTAAAATTTGGTTAAAATTTTGTTGGAAAGCAGCCAGAAATGGGAGATTTGCAAAAGTCACTTGTAAATTAAGGAACCGGTTCTGAATCTCTGGAGCCAGATAAAAGACCATTAACCAAAGTGTGGTAGGATCTCGTTGGTAAACTTGCTGTAAAAATAAAGTGCATGCGGTAGTGTACATGATTACCAGCTCAAGGTCCTTTGCACCCCCCCCCCAAGGGATTTCAACTATTTTAATGTTTTTTTAGCTTTAAAAAAGGGGGGGTACGCCTGAATAGCTGAGTCCTTAAGCTTCTGACTTTGGCCTCGGTCATGATCTCACAGTTAGTAGGTTCGAGCCTGGAATAGGGCTCTGCACTGGCAGTGGGTAGCCGGCTTCGGATTTTCTCTCTGCCCCTCCCCCACTTGCACTGTCTCTGTCTCTCTCAAAAATGAATAAATTTTAAAAAGAATAAAAAATTAAAGGCCCTAGTTCTGTGTACTATGTTCTATTTCGTGATCTGGAGGCTGGTTCCAAAGGAGAGTTCACTTAGGAAAATTCATAGTCTACACAAAACTGTGTATCCTTTTATGTATGTATATAGCATATCTGTATCTATATATATTTTTAATTTAAGTTTATTTATTTTGAGAGACAGAGCCTGCAAGTGGGGAAGTGGCAGAGAGAATCCCAAGCAGACTCTGCCTTACCACTGCAGAGGCCACTGCAGGGCTTTACTCCATGAACCTGTGAGATCGTGACCTGAACCAAAGTCAGACCCTTAACTGAGTCACCCAGGCGCCCATCAATATATATATTTTTCAGTTATACTCCAGATTATTGCAATTTTAGTTCTTGCAATTTAACCTACATTGAAGGCTAGAATTCAGGTTTCCTAAATTCCTGCTTCACTTTGTGTTCCAATCTGGAATGTCAGCATTACTAATTAATTTTTGTCCAATCTCACCCACTTCTCTGCCTTTAATTAAGTGATTAGAGATGTGACTCTCCCATACATTAGATCTTAAGGCACAATTCAATACTTAAGGAAGTAAAAGCATTATATAAATATAAGGTATTTGAAATGATGACAACCTTAATGGATAATTACTCTAATTGGGGTGTGTGTGTTTGTGTGTGTGTGGAAGTTATTGCTACAATTATTTTAGCATGAGCATGTAGTTTTTGAATGATGCAGCTTAAATTGGTGGTGTTAACACTGGGGAAGCCAGGTTAATCCTCTTAATGTTAGCTGTCAGATTACTGAAATCGCCAAACATTCCATTCAGTTTATAATTAAACAAGGGAACATTTCCTAATACTCTCAGATTTATAAACACACATCTATTATTTTATAGTGTACTTTGATATGTTCAGAAAAGAACCTAGAGGGGTTTTTTTTCCCCAGTTTTTTTTTCTTTTGTTTTTTCAACGTTTATTTATTTTTGGAACAGAGAGAGACAGAGCATGAACAGGGGAGGGGCAGAGAGAGAGGGAGACACAGAATCGGAAACAGGCTCCAGGTTCTGCGCCATCAGCCCAGAGCCCGACGCGGGGCTCGAACTCACGGACCGTGAGATCGTGACCTGCCTGAAGTTGGACGCTCAACCGACTGCGCCACCCAGGCGCCCCTTTCCCCACTTTTTAAAACTTGAAATATATTTCATATACCATACAATTCACCCTGAATTTTAAAGTGTGCGTACAAGTCAGTGGTTTTTAGTATGTTCTGAAGGTTACACAATTACCACCACTTTCTAACTCCGGAAACCTTGTGTGTCCCTTAGCAGTCACTCCCCGTTCCCTCTTGCCTCCAGGACCCTGGCGACCACTACCCTACTTTCTGTCTCTATTGATGACCCATTCTGGACATTTTATATGAATGGGTAATACGATCTGTGGCCTTCTGTGTCTGGCTTCTTAGCATAATGTTTTCAAGGTTTATTCATGTTGTGGTACCTACCAGTACTCCATTCCTTTTTGTGGCTGAATACTATTCCATTGCATGGATATACCACTTTTTTGTTTAAATTTTCATCAGTTGATGGACATTTGGCTTATTTCTACTTTTTAGCTATTACCATAATGCTGCTGTGAACATGCCTGTACAAGTGTTTGTGTGGGCATGTTTTCAATTCTCTTGAGTGAATTAGGTGTTTAAGCATTTTATCATTTGAAGAGACTTATGCATCGAATGCTACTTTTCTTACTCCCACACTAAACAGAACGCAAAGGCATGTGTGAGGATGGAAGGTTAGTTGCCGTATTTCATTTGCTTCCCAGATTCATTCATTCACAACCATTTCCTGAGGGCCTACCATGTGAACAGTAGTAACAAAACCTGAAAATCACTGTCTTAGCGGAGCTTACATTCTAGGTACTGCTGTACTCACACAGATGAAATAATCAGATTTATTAAATTGAACTACACGAAATTGGTAAGTTTTATCTACATTTTTAACTGCAAAATGGCAATTTCATAGGGTCCAATTTAATACTAAGCTAAATTTCTATTGGGAATGTTGCATGGCATTTTTATTGCATTCAGGTTAATTTCCCAAACAATGCTTACAACACTGAAAAATCTAAAAACTTTGTTCTTTTAACTGTTTCCTAATGGTGTGCATAGTAGGTAGTAGTTGAAAAGGTTCAGAAAGAAAAGCCAGCCTGAAAAGCTGAATGCATCATTCTTCAATAGAAAAATTGATTGTTGAATGTTTCGTGATGCCGTGCTCAATGTAATCATGTTATATGATCCTAAATTGTATTAAAGCTTTAATTAAAAATAAAATTTAAATTTAAATTAAATTAAATTTAATTAATTAAAAATTGTAATGAAAAATAATTAAATAATATTTTTAATCAAATATTCATTCCCAGCAACTCAGTCTTTTTGACTATGGTTACACTGTTGAACATATTTGATGAAAATTCTCATGACTCAGAAACAAAGTAAATATTATTTTCGGAAGACCTATGATTATAAGTTTGTTGATCTTACATGCAGTCAAGTGAATGATAAGATTTTTAAATTTTATTTTTCTTCCTTTTTATATGTAAAGAAGAAAGTTCAGAGCTCAGAATATGGTGTCAGAAATTTGGGTTCAAATCTCAATGTTGCCACATAGCAGCCAGATAAGATTGATCCATGAGGGAAATTAAACTACATCAGTCTCATTTTTCTCCACTGTAAAGACGGGATGATGGTAAATAGTTATCTGTTCCTAAGATTGTTGAGCAGTACATGGTCTGTTCACCAAGACGGTCCATATGCTGGGCCATATGTTGAGTCTCGATAAATTCAACAAGTCATTGGGGAGCCTGGGTGGCTCAGTCAGTTAGGCATCTGACTCTTGATTTGGGCTCAGGTCATGATCTCACAGTTTGCAAACTAATAGGCACAAAGCCCCCCTGGGATTCTGTCTCCTGCTGTCTTTGCCCCTTCTCTGCTTGCCCTCTATCTCTCTCTCAACATAAATGAAAATAAACTTTGAAAAAAAGTTTTAACAAGTCATTGTTGTATCCTGTCTGCCCGAAACAGTCCCGGTCACATGGTTGTTCCAAAAGTATGTGTTGGATGAGCAAATGAATACAACCCTGATTCCTCATTCCAACATGCCTGTGGAGCCGTGCCCATCTCTCAGATAGCTTGTTAGTATAAAAACAGCATATTGCTTCACAGCATTTTAAGGCTTAGATCCCTGGTACTAGGTTTCAAAGGAGAAGAGAGTGGAGGTTAGAAAATTTCTAGGGGCGCCTGGGTGGCGCAGTCGGTTAAGCGGCCGACTTCAGCCAGGTCACGATCTCGCGGTCCGTGAGTTCGAGCCCCGCGTCAGGCTCTGGGCTGATGGCTCGGAGCCTGGAGCCTGCTTCCGATTCTGTGTCTCCCTCTCTCTCTGCCCCTCCCCCGTTCATGCTCTGTCTCTCTCTGTCCCAAAAATAAATAAAAACGTTGAAAAAAAAATTAAAAAAAAAAAAGAAAATTTCTTCTCTGCTTCGCCTGCTTAGTGAATGAATTCAGTGATTGGTATTTGATCGAGAGCAACTAAGGAGTTGCTGAGGGCCTGGCCTGAAGGGCCTCTAGGCTCCCCACCCAATCAGGAATGGGGAGGATCCTAGTCCATGGAGGGTGGATTCCTTGGACAGATTTATGGAGAAATTCATGGGAAAGTCACCAGGAAGGCAATTTCTGAGAGGATGATGACACTTGGTGAGTAAAACTCTATCTCCTCAATTCCTATGTATTAAGCAAGACCCTTCTGGAGAGATCAAAGATTAAACAGAGGGAGCACCAGGAAGGGAGCTTCTAGTAGAACAAGAGTAACTGCAAACCCCATCATTCCTGTGCCAGGCTCTGTGCTGCGTTACGGACTTTTTTATCCTTAAAACAATCTTAGGATGTACTATTGTTTCCCTCATTCTGGGAAGAGTAAAGCTCAGAAAGATTTCTTCATTTACTTAAAATATCTGCTAAGAAGTTGTCGAGTCAGGATTCAACCCAGGCAATCCAAGCCCAGAACTAATATCTTAACAGTTTCACTATACTCTAGGACTGCCTTTTTTCTCCAAAAAATAACCAAACTCCTTTAAACTCCCCGCCCATAGAAAGATTTCATGGTGCTGTTATAAAAAGCAAGCAAACAAACAAACAAACCCTTAAAAAGTGGAGTGTTTATTGGGGCGCCTGGGTGGCTCAGTCAGTAAAGCATACAACTTCAGCTCAGGTCATGATCTCACGGTTTATGAGTTCAAACCCCATGTCAGGCTTTGTGCTGACAGCTCAGAGCCTGGAGCCTGCTTTGGATTCTGTGTCTCCCTCTCTCTCTGCTCCTCCCCTGTTCGTGCTCTGTTTCTTTCTTTCTCAAAAAAAAAAAAAAAAAAAAAACAATAAAAAAAAAAAAAGAGTGTTATGGATGAGAATGAACCAATTAGAGATTCTTCCAATAACATGGTGAATCTTTCAAACATATTGAACAAAACAAACAAGCCCACCCCCACTAAAAACATACAGTATGATTCCATTGATATAAAGTTCAAAACCAGGCAAAACTAAGCTATATCACTTGGGGATTCTATGCATAAGTGGCAAAACTACAAGGAAAAGCAAAGAAATCATCATCTTTCTTAAGAAAATAAGAGTGGGAAAGGGCTCCTGAGTGGCTCAGTCGGTCAAGCCTCCGACTTCGGTTCAGGTCATGATCCCACAGTTCGTGAGTTCGAGCCCTGTGTAAGGCTCTGGGCTGACAGCTCAGAGCCTGCAGCCCGCTTCAGATTCTGTGTCTCCCTCTGTCTGCTCCTCCACAGTTTGCACTCTGTCTCTCGCATTGTCTCAAAAATAAACATTAAAAAAAATTAAAAAGAAAATAAGAGTGGAAGAGAAGAGCAAGATGTACCCGGGGTGCTGGCAATATTCTGTTCTCTTCACTTGGATGCAGGTTACATGGCTATTAGCTTTACAACAGTTTACTAAACTGTACATGTACGTTTGATGCACTTTCTATGGGAATTTTATGTTATAATAAAAATTTTATTCAAAAGAACAGAGATTTGGGGCGCCTGGATGGCTCAGTCGTCTGAGCGTCCGACTTCAGCTCAGGTCATGATCTCGCGGTCCGTGAGTTCGAGCCCCGCGTCGGGCTCTGTGCTGACAGCTCAGAGCCTGGAGCCTGCTTCAGATTCTGTGTCTCCCTCTCTCTCTGCCCCTCCCCTGCTCATGCTCTGTCTCTCTCTCTCTCTGTCAAAAATAAACATAAAAAATTTAATAAATAAATAAATAAATAAAAGAACAGAGATTAGAGCCATTTTTTAAAGTTGGTTGGAGACCTATGTTTCATTAGTTTTGTTTTGTGAATAACATTCCTCAAACACAAGCAGAAAAGAACTTCCTAGGATCAAAGTTGAAACCATCATCTAAGAGGGAGGGTTTCAGTCTGGGACAGAATGCTGCCACAATTATGTAGGTGATGCAGACAGAGATTTGGGGTAGGATCAGAGGAAGTCGAGACTATCATCTGGAAAAGGAGAGGGAGGGTTTCAATCTGGGACGGAATGCTGCCACAATTATGCGGATGATGCAGAGAAAGAGATTTGGGGATGTTTTTTTTTAACTGTAGCAGTCATCCATTGCAGTGGAAAATTGGCCTTGCAGGGTTTTTCAGAAACTGGTCTTCCTGAATCTTTTAAGCTAAAAAATTTTTTTAAAAAAGGAAGAGGAAAAAGTAAACATTAACCAAATACTGCAAATACTGTGTTTTTATATGTCATTTTAACTTCATAGGGCTCTTTACCTTCTATGTCCCCAAACTTTGAAAAGTACTAATAATAATCCTGTTACTTATCACAAGGAATCCTAACCCTAGAAAAATCATTTGAACAGGGTTGGTTTGAAACTGACATACTCTTACCAGACCACAAGCTTCTCTTAACATTTTGTTGGTTATGAGTTACAATTCTTTTATCCGTGACAGGGGCTTCTGCCTGACAGCTTTTCTGACTTCAATTTAGAGATGATTTAGGAGAACCTTCAGGAGCTACAAAGGGAAACTTAGTGCAGCTCCTGAAATGTTTACACTAACCCACACAGGGTGTGGTCTGAGTGGCACATTTGCGAACTGTACCCGAAAGGGAATATTGATTCACTCAAAAAATATTTACTCGGTACCAGGCTATACACCAGACCCTGTTCCGAGCCCTGGAGATAAGATGGACTCAAGAGAAGAAAGGGTCCCTCACGGAGGCTGATACTTTAGTTGGGAGAAGACTTGCAACAAAGACGATTGAGCTGAAAATGAACAAGATACTTTCGAATAGTGATGAGTGACTTGAAGTAAAAGCACCTGGGGTGCCTGGTTGGCTGAGTCGGTGGAGCGTGTGGCTCTTGATCTTATGATCGTGAATTCGAGACCCACGTTGGGTGTAGAGCTTACTTAAATAACTTCATTAATTAAAAAAAAAAAAAAAAAAAAAAAGGAAGTGAAACACGCTAAGGAGACAGGGAGGGCTGGGAGAGGCAGCCGGCATTTCGTAGCAACGAATTTATGTTTTAGAATTGTGTGGAGTTTTAAGTGTCCTCCTAAGCATTCTCCTGTTGTTGTTGTTGTTGTTTAATTTTGGTAACACTTGACTTATTTATCTTTGAAGTGTTAGCTTCTGAATAGACAGGATTAAACCTGAGAAAGAGCCAGGGTGATCTGAAACCAGTTGATAGTATCTTGAGAAATGTAAACAACTCCTGTTCATCTTCCTACGTGCATCTTAATTAGAAAGTCTGGCCCCTGTGCCTGAGCGGTTCAAGATGCTTCCCTAGAAGGGAAGACGGTAAGGGAACTTCTGCAATAACCACATGATTACTTTCTTTTTCATGCTTTTTCCAGGTTTTCTAAAATTTCTCAATGATCAAGCATGTAGTCTTTCTGATGATTGGGGAAAAGATAGGTTTTCATTTTTTCCTAACTTGCTGTGTTGGAAAATTCAAACCTACAGAAAAGCCAAGAAAATAGCACAGTGAACTCTATCCTTCACCTAAATTCACCACTTGCTAAAATTGTTCACATTTGCGCTCTCGCGTGCTCTCTCTCTCTCTCCATGGCACATGCGAACGTGAGCACACACACTAAATTTACACATGGCATTTTTTAACTCAATCATTTATACTCGTGATACTTTTTTTTTGGTTCAGCCATTTAAAAGTTACTTCCAGATGGGGCGCCTGGGTGGCGCAGTCGGTTAAGCGACCGACTTCAGCCAGGTCACGATCTCGCGGTCCGGGAGTTCGAGCCCCGCGTCGGGCTCTGGGCTGATGGCTCAGAGCCTGGAGCCTGTTTCCGATTCTGTGTCTCCCTCTCTCTCTGCCCCTCCCCCGTTCATGCTCTGTCTCTCTCTGTCCCCAAAAAAATAAATAAACGTTGAAAAAGAAAATTTTTAAAGTTACTTCCAGATACAGTGACACTTCACCGCACATACTTTGTAGCACGTGCTCCTAAGAACTAAGACATTCTCCTACACAACCAAGGTCAGTTTGTGCTGCTATAGCAGAATATCACTCACTGGGTGGTTTATAAACAACAGAAATTTATTTCTCAGTTTGGAGCATGCAAGTCAGATCAGGGTGCCAGCATGGTCAAGTTCTGGTGAGAACCCTTTTCTGGGCTGCAGACAGCAGTTTCCTCTTTGTGTTGTGAAGAGGGTGAGATCCCTCTCTAGGGTCTCTCTTAGAAGGGTGCGACTCCCAGCACTCTCAACAATAGCCAAATTATGGAAAGGGCCTAAATGTCCATCAACTGATGAATGGATAAAGAAATTGTGGTTTATGTACACAATGGAGTACTACGTGGCAATGAGAAAGAATGAAATATGGCCCTTTGTAGCAACATGGATGGAACTGGAGAGGGTTATGCTAAGGGAAATAAGTCACACAGAGAAAGACAGATACCATAGGGTTTCACTCTTATGTGGATCCTGAGAAACGTAACAGGAACCCATGGGGGAGGGGAAGGAAAAAAAAAAAAGAGATTAGAGTGGGAGAGAGCCGAAGCATAAGAGACTCTTAAAAACTGAGAACAAACTGAGAGCTGATGGGGGGGTGGCAGGGAGGGGACGGTGGGTGACGGGTATTAAGGAGGGCACCTGTTGGGATGAGCACTGGGTGTTGTATGGAAACCAATTTAACAATAAATTTCATGTACTTTTTAAAAAAAAGACTCATTTCACACACACACACAAAAAGAAGGGTACTATTCCCATTCACAGAGGGACTGCCCTCATGACCTAATCACCTCCCCAAAGGCCCCCACCTTCTAATACCATCAGGTTGGCTAGGATTTTAACGTAAGAATTGGGGGGGGACACAAACATTCAGACCATAACAACCACCATACCATTAACAGACCCCCCCCCACCCCATGAACATTAATACATAATCCTACCTAATATGTAGGACATACCCACATAGCTCCAGTTCCAAAAATATCATTTATGGTTTGTTGTTGTTGTTTTAAATCTAGGAATCAGTCAAGGATGATTCCTTGCCTTTCATTGTCATGTCTCTTACGTCTCCTTAACTTTTCAACAGTCCCATTACCATTTTTGTCTTTCATGACATTGTCATTTTTAAAAAAAATTTTTATAATGTTTATTTATTTTTGAGAGAGACAGAGACAGAATGTGAGTGGGTTGGGGCAGAGAGAGAGGGAGGCACAGAATCTGAAGCAGGCTGCAGGCTCCAAGCTGTCAGCACAGAACCCGATGCGGGGCTCAAACTCCCGAGCTACGAGATCATGACCTGAGCCAAAGTCGGATGCTCGACTGACTGAGCCACACAGGCGCCCTGACATTGTCATTTTGTAAAAATTTTTTATAATGTTTATTTATTTTTGAGAGAGACAGAGACAGAATGCGAGTGGGTTAGGGGCAGAGAAAGAGAGACACAGAATCTGAAGCAGGCTCCAGGCTCTGAGCTGTCAGCACAGAGCCTGACGCGGGGCTCGAACTCACGAACCGTGAGATCATGACCTGAGCTGAAGTCAGACGCTCAACCGAGCCACCCAGGTGCCCCAACACTGTCATTTTTTAAAAGAATCTGGTTGTCCTGTTGAATGTCTCACTATCTGGATTTGTCTCCCTCCTCCCCACTGCCAACTATTAGATTTAGAGGAAACACCACTGGCACAAATACTATATGGGTGATGTTGTGGACTGCATTCTCTATCACATCAGGAGGCTGACGCCATGAAGTTGTCCCAGAATGAGTGGTGCTAACTTTGAATCAGGTGGTACCTTCCCTTTGTAATCAGTAAGTATTCCATGCGCTGATGCTTTGGCCGTCTTACTGTCCAACAACCTTTCATCCAAGGAAGGCTTTCAGGGTCCACTGCTGATTCTTGCCTGACTCCAGTATTGCACCAGTCGGTGCCTCATGTTATCTTCTAGTATCATCAAGTATTCGTATCAACACTATCTGGTGCCATCAAGAAAAAAAAAAAAAAAAAAGAACTTTCAAGTGTGAAGAAAAGAAGGTGGAAAACATTCTACGTCATTGGCATACTGACCTCACATGAAGAAAAGTTTATTTTTTATCATACAGTTTTTTTTTTCTGTGTTTTCTTTAAAAAGTCAACCAACGCCCTTACCTGAATAATATATGAGCTGATTGTTTATTTACTAGGGAGGGCGGGGGATGTGGGGAGAAAGGAAAGCCTACTTCTGTATAGCCCTCTTCCCTCACATAGCCCAGGAGATGAGGTGTACCTCATAAAAATAAATAATAATAATAAAAAAAGGACAGATAAGTGCTGTGTGAGTGGTAAAGATAAGATAAGAACGCTCTCTTTTCTGACTCACTGCAACTCCTCACCTGCCCGCCCATGTGCTTCCCACTTGTGTGTCTGTGACTTGCCCTTTGCTCACACTAATTCCTCTACCTGGAATGTTCTTTCACCTTTGCATTCAGGTTCATATATTAAAATACTGCCACTGCTTCAAGACTGAGCAACCCCCTCTCCTATTAAAAACAACAACAACAACAACAACTTCTTTAATTTTTCCTCTTTTTTTAAAAAAAAAATTGGCCTAGGGGCGCCTGGGTGGCGCAGTCGGTTAAGCGTCCGACTTCAGCCAGGTCACGATCTCGCGGTCCGCGAGTTCGAGCCCCGCGTCGGCTCTGGGCTGATGGCTCAGAGCCTGGAGCCTGTTTCCGATTCTGTGTCTCCCTCTCTCTCTCTGCCCCTCCCCCGTTCATGCTCTGTCTCTCTCTGTCCCAAAAATAAATAAATGTTGAAAAAAAAAATTAAAAAAAAAAAAATTGGCCTCAGGGCACCTGGGTGGCTCAGTGGGTTAAGTGTCTGACTCTTGATTTCAGCTCAGGTCATGATCTCATGGTTTGTGAGTTCCAGCCCCAAGTCTGGCTCTGTGCTGACAGGATCCTGCTTGGGATTCTCTCTCTCCCTCTCTCTCTGCCCCTCCACCTCTCTCAAAATACATAAATAAACTTAAAAAATTTTTTCTTTTAAATTTTTTAATGTTTATTTATTTTTGAGGAAGAGAGAGACAGAGCACAGCAGGGGAGGGGCAGAGAGAGAGAAGGAGACACAGAATCCAAAGCAGGCTCCAGGCTCTGAGTTGTCAGTACAGAGCCCAACATGGGGCTCAGACTCGTAAACCACAGGTCATGACCTGAACCAAAGTCAGATGCTTAACCGACTGATCGCCCAGGCACCCCCCCAAATTTTTTTTTTAATTAAAAAATAAAAAGGTTGGCCTCTCCCAATTTTGCACATATTCCAAAATCAATTTATCAAATCTTTTGGCTGCTCCGTGTTAAATTACTTCCTAACTTGGATTATAGGAGGGTGTGGATCCTCTAGACTGCACACTGACTGAGGGTGAGCTTGCCTTCTGACTCGCCTGGACTCCCAGTGGGCCCCTCTTTCTGGTACTTTGCACTTTTGTTACTTTGAGTAAATGAACAACAGTCAATGCATCAATAAACTGTCCTTAAGTTTATTGAGGTTGAATTATGCTGGTAATAATCTTGATGAGAAACTCTACTCTTGCCCTCCGGGCTTATTTTTTTTCCAAACATGTTCCTTACAGTAGTAAGTTAACAAGGAAGTTTCTTTTACTCCCTTCCTCTAGACAGAGGGAAAAAAATAACAGGAAACCAACCCACAGCAAACAATGAAGATGGATATCAAATATTTGTTCCTTTCCATACAAGAGGAGTTATGCACAATATTAGGTCATCACAGCACCACTTGAAACAACCAAAGTTGCTTTGAGCTTTAAGAATTTTCAGTCTAGCAATTTGGCTGTTTTTATTGAAATCAGGTCAAGTTCAAATACAGCCTTACAGGGGAAACTGGGTGGCTCTGTGGGTTGAGCGTCTAGCTCTGAATTTGGGCTCAGGTCATGATCCCAGAGTCGTGAGATCGAGCCCCATGTCAGGCTCTGCTCTGAGCATGAAGCCTGCTTGAGATTCTTTCTCTTGCTCCCTCTGTCCCTCTCCACTGCTCATGCTTGCTCCCTCTCTCTTAAATTAAAAAAAAAAAAAAAAAAAAGCAGAAATAAGTAGATATTATTCCAAGTATCCACAATTGTCCCCTGGAAGCTGTGCTTGGTGTCAAACTGTGACTCAGGAACTCGGAACGCGGCTGCAGGTAGATAACTTCCTTTCTTTCTGTGCTCCCGTACGTTTTGTAGATTGTAAGAAAAGAAATAGAAGGAACTATCAAGTAACACAATATCACACGTTAAATATTAACTCCATTTTATAGATAAGAAAACTCAGTTTCATAAATGATAAAAATTCACTTCAGATTACACAGCTAGAAAAGGATAAAGCGGGGATATAAAATATATGTCTTTTTGACCCAATCCATGCCGTCATAGGGCTGTGTCTTTTAGATGTCTGCCCTGATAGCAAAGTGTGAGGTCCTTGTGTCCACAATAGTTAGTGCAATGCTTGATGCATGAATACTGAATATAACCAAATATCTCCCAGTTTCCTCTGCCTCACCGAATGTCAATTTTAGTCTTATATTCATCCTTCCCATGCAGCCAAAGGCTTCCTGAGAAGCTGACTCCACCCCAGCTCCTGGGGAGTGGCTTAATGGCTAAAGATAATCCTAGTCCCTTTGCCAGTGATTGACTCAGGAACTCACATCTCAGCCCATCAACAGGAAGCTGGACACACTGCCCCCACTGCTGTTGGTGGCCATCTTTACAACCACAAGAGGAATCAACCTAAAGATCAAAGTTACACCCAGATAAGGCAGATCCAGGACCACCAAGGGAACCTAGAGCCTAGAGCCCACTCTGGATTTCCAGTCATGTGCAATAAAACAGTGCCTTTTATTTAAACCACTTCACAATTGCTTGTTGTTGTTGCATTGAGCTGAAATTCTCCTGATATAGACAATATGGGCACTTAGTAAATGTCCACTGATGAATATTTCTTTTGTGCCAGGAATAAGGCTAGCCACTTTATGTGCAACCCTTCAAAGGTGAGTATTATCACCCTCATTTTCTAGATAAGGAAATAAAGCCCCAGCAGGGTAAGTGATTTGATTAAGGTCACAGAACTGGTGAAAAGTGAATTTGGAAATCAGACTGGGATCTTTTGATTCTGTGGCTTCCTTGCCTACCATACAAATGATGGGATGAGGGGCCTCACTCTGTGACACCCTTTTCCTTAAGGAAGAACTCACAAAAGTGATAAAACCGTTACTTGGCAAGATTAATTTCTTTTGCCTCCTTTACTGAACAGACATGTCCACAAACTTTCCTTGACACTGACCAAAAGATCCATGTCCAAAATGGTTCTGTGCACTTGGTCTCAGGGGGAATACAAGAATAGTTAAGGCATGGCGAATGTCATGGACATCTATTGTTTTTGCAAGTCCAGCCTCTGTTAAGAACTCGCAGCTTTTCCTTTGAAGACTTATCCCTTCCGCCACTTTCGTGAGGTCTGATAGGGCTCTCTGTCACAGTGCTGTAGCCCACAGGGGGGAGTAGGACAGCGAGGCCAGCCAGCTAATTAGAGGTGGTCATTGGTTCAAAGATGGACATATGGCCCAATCAAGGTCTATCAGAGGCTTCCCAGAGATGTGGTAGAGGATGGCTGGAAGACAGTCTCCTCCTGTGATCCCTCAACATAACTGTACTGCATACAGCAGGGGAGCCATCTTCCTCATTGCACACAAGTGTGCAAATAGAAGACGAGACTAATATGCTGTGAGAAACAGGGGGGACAGAGGGATGGGCTGAGAAGGAGCCCTGAAGCCAAGTCAATTCCTGGACTGTTCCGTTCTCTCAATCAGTAGATTCAGTCAGTCTTACTATCTCAGAGGTGAGACTTAACACATCCTGTTTTGTAAACCCAACTCAGGGCTCAATTCCAACCTTACCTCTTTCTCCGAAGATTCTCTGGCCGTTTCAGCCTAGTGCAGCCTCTCTGGAACTCCCTTCTCCTCCCCAGAATTCTTGACTCTGTTGGGGTCTGTCGGTCCTGAGATAAGCTACGTGAAAGTGCTTAAGAAAGGATAAGGACTGCATGCATGGAAAAGTATCTCTTGTGAACGTAAAAATGGTATCTGTTGAATTGTTAAACATATTCCCTCATCCCCAGCTCAGGAGAACTAAACATGCTTTTCAAACTGCTGTGAATGCCAAAGAGTGCTCCACTTGCTAATACCAGCACATGCATCATTCTCAAACCCTGCCTAGCCTCACATCCTTCCAAACTTGCCTCAAAAGAGCTCTGTTTTTACTGAGAAAATGTAGGACACTTCACCTTTCTCAAAGGGTCTCTAGAGTCAACCCTCTTCTCCTGTCCTCCCCTCCCACCCCCTCTCCCCACATTATACACCCTTTCAGGGTGCGCTCTCATTCTCCAAGCGCACCTCCTATGGGGCTGTCCCCTAATCCCAAATTGGAAGCCCTTTCCTTGGTTCCTGTGTTCAAAAATGCAGGAGTTCCTTTTATCTTTTTAAGGAGTAAATTTTTGTATAACGCCAAGCACTACCAATAACCTTCTACAGAAGTTATTAAAGGTAACTCATCTTTGCTATTCATAAAGTACTGGCCCTTGACTCAGGTTTTACACAGCAATCGATTCAGCGTTATACTGAGAAGTTGAGTTGCCGGCAACTTTGCTGAACTCCCACTAGGCAATTACCCAGATAGTTGGAATTCCTTCGTTTTCCAGCTGGAAGGCTTTGTTAAGTTTGCATTATCAATATTGACTCAGGTTGATCTTTAGGTACTAGGTTGGCTTAGTCTTTCGCGTAAATGTCAATTTTGGTTAGTCTCGCTTTATTATTGTCAATTTGCTATGTTGCTTTGCTAACCATATTGTTTTTTAATGCTTTTTCGTGTCAATAGGATTTTGAAGCCGCAGTTTTCAAGAACTAGATTTTAAGATCTGTGTGGTTTGATATTCTAATAGAACTCTTTTATACCCCTGCGGCTGAATCAGATGTTTTTTTGTAATTTCCTAGAAATGTGCCCACACTATGACCCTTCAGTGTTTATGTGTTTTTCATGAGTTTGTGCTATTTGTATAATTTATGACCTGGAATCCAAATTAAGCGTAATGAAGCCGCTGGGTTATTTTTAAATTTATAAGATATTATTTGACAGTATAAAATCATGTGAGCAAGCTCAGATTCTTCTGTTATCAAGTAAATACTGAGTGATTTTATGTTATGTACCCAGCAAATATCTACCTCAGTTTCTGTATGAGGAAAAGCATATTGATGATACCACTAGTGTATTATATGGTATCATGTTGTGATATAATATTGACATTTATTGTTTTGTTTAAAATATATTGCCATTTAATTATTTTTAATATTTATTTATTTATTTTGAGAGAGAGAGAGAGAGAGAGCACATGCAAGCAGAGGAGGGGCAGAGAAAAAGGGAGAGAGAGATTCCCAAGCACGCTCCACACTCAGCAAGGAGCCTCCCACAGGGCTTGATCCCACAACCACGAGACCATGACCTCAGCCAAAATCAAGAGCCAGTCACCCAACCAACTGAGTCACCAGGTGGCCCAGGAATGTGCTGGCATCTTTTTCCTAGAAATGAAAGTACGCACTCAAAGAATAAGTTCATTTTTAATTTCCATAGGTATTGCCAAATTGCCACCTATACTGGATGCAACGATTTACACTCCTTTTGCTAAAAATGTAAATGACGGTTTCCCAAACTCTGGTCAAAGTGGGTTATGAAATCTTTGGCATTCTGATACATGACAAAATAGCATTTTGACATAATTTTAATTTGCATTATCTAATATCAATGAGCTCAGCATCCTTCCGTATGTTTAAGTATTCTTTTCCAGTGAACTATCCCAACCCTTTGCAAATTTTCTATTGTATCATTCATCTTTGGTGATTTATAGGGACTCTATATATTAATGACACTGGCTTTCAAAATATACTTTGCATTGCGAGTCACAGGTTGCTTTCCTGGTTTGTCCTCTGGTCATTTTTCTTTTGCTTTTTTTGTGTCTGTTGAGGGGGGGGCATAGGGGACATGGGGCATTGCTGTGAAGACAGACATATGTCGAGATACTGTACTCTCAAATTTCAGACAGATCAAAGAATTACTCATAAAAAATGACAAAAACATGAAGCCATGGAAGCATTTTCCCTTAGTCTCAAAGTAGGGAGTGCCTTTCTGAGAAAGAATTAAAACACCCAAAAGACCAATAAATCTGACTCTATGAAAATAAAATATGTCTTCATGATAACAGATGACGTGCTAACCCCAGTGCCTTGGAATGTAACCCTATTTGGGAATAGAGACCTTGCAGATATAGTTCAGTTAAAATGAGGTCACAGTAGAGTGAGGTGGGCCCTGGACACAGCATGACTGGTGTCCTTATGAGAAGAGCAGAGACACCGAGATAGAGACGCAGAGACATAGATCGAAGTGCTGCAGCAGCAGAGCCAAGAAATCCCGAGGGCTGTCACAAGCCACGAGAAATGAGAAAAGATACAAAGAAAGATTCTCCTGTGCAGGTTTCAGAAGGAACATGGCCTGGCTGACATGTTGATTTCAGATTTCCAAACTCCGGAACCAGCAACAATAAATTTCTGTTGTTTTAAGCCCCTGGACTTGTGGAACTTTGTTGCAGTAGCTGAGCGAAGCCAATATACCAGCTTCCTTTCTTGCTTGATCAGAAAACTGGTCTGATCCTACGAAAGGTTTTGCTCTTAAGCACTCTGGGAAAACGAACAGAGGTAGAAAACACAAGGTACATCTACAGAGGTTACGGAGACTTAAAAAGTGGCCTTCCCTAAAAGTACACTTACTGTGATGCACACAGAGTAGTGTATAGAATCGTTGGGTCACTATATGTACACCTGAAACTAAGATAACACTGCATGTTAATTACACTGTAACTAAAAAAAGTAAATAAGTAAAAATTTTTAAGTGGGCTTGCCTCACTCCCATTTCTAGGTACCCATGCAGCTACTCCCTTGGACAATCCTTCTCTGATACTATTGTTATTTATTACTTGCTTCACCTAGAATACAAACTGCATACGGCAGAAAACTTCTTCTTTTCTCTTCACCACTATACCCAGAGGATACGCCTAACAGAGGCAGATTGATGGTACACCATCCATACTTTGTGGGTGGAGAATGGATAAAAATCGTAAAGAATTCTAGCCCTTCATGACTCTGTGACCTAAGGCACGTTAGGTAGCTGTTCCAGCCCTCCGTGTCTTCATCTGTAAAATGGGACACGTGCGTGCGCTGCAAGTTAGGAGGGGAAATGATCAGTGCTATGGGGAGTGGTGCGGTTGTTTGGTTTGTCTTCAGTGGGGCGGAATCAACCAGAGCGTAAGCTCTCCTGGGTTCTCCACCAGAGTCTGACTTACTGCTGTAACCCCAGGGGTAGCCTGACACACAGTAGATGGTCAATAAATCAATCTGGAGGCAAGGGTTTTGAGAAATATTTAGAAGGGAATACCTGGTCCTGAACTGGATGTGGGGGGGGAAGAATAAAAGTAGTGACGTCACATCCTCTCTTTAACCTTGGGAACTGGTTGAGCTGCCCGTAGACTTTGAAACTTGGGAAGAAAAGGAAATAACACCCCTCCGGGTCTTTTGAACTGGTAGGCCATAGCCTCCAATTTCTACCACCCCAGCCCCTCAGAAAAGAAAAGGCAGACTTTCAAAGCTGGCAAAATAGCAAACTTTGGTGTTTTAAGTGGAAACAAAAACAAACATTTACAACCCTTTTTCCACTTGTCAGCCTCCTCCGGGCAAAGATTTAATAAGTAAAGATTTGCTTTCTGTTCCCTCTTGTTTTTCAATAAGAAAAATCCACACCACTTTTCTCTG